CTTCCTTTCCAACCTTCCATTGGTTGCCTTGTGCTATGTTCTTTCCCTTTTGGGCTAGTGCGTCACATTTGTTGCCAACTCCTACTAGCATGGCACCAGCTTCATCATCCACCCGACAGTGAATTTGTTTTGCGACAAAACGAATTCACTTTCACGTGGTTTTGAGACGTCTCAAAACCAACTCTTGGCATGTCGCCAGCTGCATCGTCCACCCATCAACTCTGCGCCACTCCTCATTACACACACACCCATGTATAAGGGCCGTCTACTTAGCATTTGGCCCCACACCTTTCATCCAGCCGTATGGCCCGTACCGAGAAGGGGTTCCGTGCATCAAGTGGGTTGTGACCTTTGAACCCTTTGACCCCTTTGAACCCTTTGACCCCTTTGAACCCTTTGACCCCTTTGAACCCTTTGACCCCTTTGACCCCTTTGACCCCTTTGAACCCTTTGACCCCTTTGAACCCTTTGACCCCTTTGACCCCTTTGACCCCTTTGAACCCTTTGACCCCTTTGAACCCTTTGACCCCTTTGAACCCTTTGACCCCTTTGAACCCTTTGACCCCTTTGACCCCTTTTGTTCCCCTTCCCCCGTTTCCATCCCCAGCTGCACATTTTCCCTGAGGCCCGCATCGTCCAGCAGCATGGCTCTGTTCGAATATCGCTATACCTGCATGCTCCAGTGTTGGGTGTAGAACGGGTAAACACCCTTACTGGGGTGAGCCCAATTCGGAAATTGTAGAAGTTGGGTCAGCCACTTGTTGCCAACGCCACATGTGAGGTGCAGCCAACTTTGGTGTGTTGGCCAAACCACCTCACATGCATGTGCAACTACTAGTACCACAAGGTGGTAATAGGTTATTAGCCCCACCAGGCTAGTTGGTCAACCCAACCCAGCTTACTTGCCAGGAATGGGTTCCTCTCTAAGGCCATTCTTGGCAAGCCCTCTTCATTGTATATTAAGTGTGCTCTCTTGCCCACCCCTCCATCCACAGCTGCACATCTTTCCCGAGGCGCGCATCATCCAGCAGCACGGCCCCTTGCACGCTTCAAGTGGGTTGAATCGCCATGGTGCCGTCCCTCCCCCCCCAAATCCGTCCTCCCCCCTGCCCCCCTCCATCCACAGCTGCACATCTTCCCCGAGGCGCGCATCATCCAGGAGCACGGCCCCTTGCCGCGCCTCAAGTGGGGCCTCGCCAGTCTGCTGGACCGCCTCTGCCCCTCGCTACCCCCCGCCCATCCTGCTGTGTGTGGGGCACAGCGGCCTTGAGCGGGTGAGTCGAGGCAAGGTGTGGGTTTTGGGGGGGAGTGTCTGCTGGACCGCCTCGGCCCTCGCTGCCGCCGCCCATCCTGCTGTGTGTGGGGCACAGCGGCCTTGAGCGGGTGAGTCCAGGCAAGTTGTGGGTGGATGGGCGGGGGGGGAAGAAGGGGGGGGGAATGTGGGGGAGGGGTGTCTGCTTGACCAGCTCTCCCCATCGCTGCCTCCGCCCATCCTTGTGTGTGCTGGGCGTAACGGCCTTGAGCGGATGAGGGGCGCCTTGTCCTTTTTACCCGCTCTCCCCCTCGCTTCCCCGCCCATCCCTGTGTGTGCTGGGCACAGCAGCATTGGAAGGGCGAGTCTATGGAATCGTGTGGGGGGGGGGGGAGGGAGGGGAAGAGGAGAGGGGAGGGAGGGGGAGAGGAGAGGGGAGGGAGGGGGAGAGGAGAGGGAGGGGAGTGACAGAACTTCTGACTTCCCTCGAATCTTGCCCACCCCTTCGCTGCATGTAGATCATCCCTCAGAACTACCACAGCAACAAACGCATGCTGATCCGTCTGTGGAACCAGCGAGTGAGTGTGGTGGTGGGCGGACCCTTCTCTTTCAACCAACATGTTACTTTCTGTGCCCCCCCCCCTGCAAAACCCCCCTCCCTTCCGTCAACAGATCATCCCTCAGAACTACCGGGGCAGCAACAAGCGTCCACTGATTCCACTGTGGAACCAGCGCGTGAGTGTGGTAGTGGGCGAACCCTTTTCCTTCGACCTCCCCTCGCTGCGCCAGCAAGCCAAAGATGCTGCCCGCCTTGACGCCCTCTCATCCGACCATAGCAGCAGCAGCAGAACTGACAGCAGCAGCAGCAGCAGCAGCAGCAGCACCAGCAGCAGTAACAGAAGTGACAGCAGCACCAGCAGCAGCAGCAGTACAAGTATGAGGGACAGTGATGCGGCTGTGTCTCTTGATCCCACGTGGCGGCAGCAGCTGCTGACGTTTGGCACTGACGCTCTGATCCACTCACCCGAGGTGCTAACTCAGCGGCTACAGGATCTGACGCAGCGAGGGTTACTAGCAGAAAGCGCGGGAGGAGGAGGGAGAACAGGGGATGGGGAGAGACTAGAAGGGGGAGTAGGTGGAGCGGAATCAGGAGAGAGGGAGTTGAGTGTGGAGGGGAGGGAGGAGGAGGCGGAGGCGTTGAGGAGGAGGATTGAGAATGTGAGGGCGGTGGGGAATGAGGAGACGAGGAGGATGTATGCACATATGATGGATGAGGTGCGGCGGAGGCTGGAGGCAGTGGTGTTTGAGGCACATGACAGGCAGCAGCGGATGAAGTAGGGTGCAGGTGGGAGCCAGTGTTTGGTGAAACTGTGCAAATAGTGCGTTTTATGTGTGCGATGTGATGGAGGTACAGTGGGGACTTGAAGCCATGGTGTTTGAGTCTAACGGCAGGCAGTAGTGGATGAAGAAGGGTGTTGTGGCGGAGACTGGAAGCGGTGGTGTTTGAGGCGCATGATAGGCAGCAGCGGATGAAGGAGGGTGCAGGCGGTGGAGGAGGGTGCAGGCGGCCACGTCTGTTGAGACGACTCAACGAATGTGTGCGGTATGATCTGTGCACAGTCTGGACATATACTCAGTCTGTGTTTGAGGCTCCGCAGAGACTGGCAGGGACTGGCAGGCAGGTGAGGGGCATAGTCAAGAGGGAACTATTTCATTCAAGCTTAGATGGCAGGGCATGGAGTGTATGTGGGTAGTGGCACCTGCAAGCAGTGTGGTCGTTTTGGTGCCTGAACATACCAGCTAGACACGGGTTCTGCGTTGGGGAACTGAGGTGGGAGGAGGGCGGGATGGGATGGGGGGAGCATGTAGGGTAGCATAGCATGGGGTGAGGTATCAACATGATGGGACTAAGTCACGAAACATGTTGCAGTTGTTAAATACTTGTTGTATGGTACCAGTAATATCAACCAGTTTGCTACTTGGTTGCAGGGCTGAAATTATCAGTCTATTTACTCTGATTAGTCTGAAATCTCTTACCTGTTTTTTGGCCAAACCTGAATTTTCAGATAAGGCATTTCCCAATCCTGATCCCTTCAGAGTACGATTCTAGGGATCCCGAGAAAATCGGAGTTGTCGCTAACCCAGTACTGAGTTTTCAGAGCACAGCGCGTACAGACCCTGACTCATTACCCGTACAGTACCAACCTTCGAAAAAATTGGTGAAGTCCCCAATCGCTAGAGACATGCCCCACACACCCCACAACCCCTAAAAAATTTCGGCCAAGTCCCCGAACCCTAGAGACAACCCCCACCCCACACCCCACAACCCATCTAAAATTTCGGCGAAGTCCCCGAACACTAGAGACATCCCCCACACACCCCACAACCCACCCTAAATTTCAACTAAGTCATGTTGTCAGATACAGTCCTCCCTAACACCTGGAACAACCCAGAAGTTTTGAACGAGACTTTCACTTTTTTTTTTTAACTACATTGAAATGAGAGTAATTTCCGCATTTTTAACATAGGGAAATTCTCGCCAGTTGCCCGTTTGGTCAACTGAAAGTCTAACCGGATGTAACGGTCACGATCGTTTGCGATCGTTTCGACGTATATCAATCGTTCGATGTTATGTAGTAATTAACGTCCAAGATTTCCCCACCGGGGCGCTGCAAGGGCGCGAAATTTCTCCCACCGTCCTATTCCCCAACTTCCCCCCTCCCTGCCGTTTCGATTCCCCCTTCCCCTCCATTTTCGCTTCCCCCCTCCCCTCCGTTTCGATCACTTCCCCCTTCCCCTCCATTTCGCTTCCCCCATCCTCTCCGTTTCGACCGCCCCCCCCTTTCCCCCCTCCCCTCCGTTTCGCTTCCCCCCTCCCCTCCATTTTGATTCCCTCCCCATTTCCCCGTCAGTTTCGATTCCCCCTCTCCTCAGTTTCGATTTCCGTGGCAGTGCGATTTTACCCTCTCGGTTTTTAGGAATGACTTCCCCGTTTCCCACATTTAACAACTACGCAAAACGAGGGTATGACAAGGTTGCTGGTTGGGGGGGGCGCGGGCTGTGGGAAGATTTTTAATGCTGCAAGGGACTCATCCGATTTTTTGGGAGGTGTAGGAGGGAGGGACGTTTCTCGCTATGGGGGTGTTTCCCGTGTGTGACTCTGGTTGTACGTCCTAGACCCTGAAAAAATCAGACTCGCTGAGTTATGGACCCTGACATTTCAGACTACAAAAATTTCGGCTGAAGGCCCTTCAGACTTTTTTTTTTTTGGGGGGGGTTGGCTCAGAGTGCCTTTTTTTGAAACGTCAGCCCTGCTTGGTTGTCCCGAAATATCCACACGTATCTCTGGTAGGGCAGCAGCATGTCAGTTGGACCATCCATTTGGGAGCTTTAGCTTCAGTTGTTTCAATACACCGCCCTCTCCAATTCTTAGCTCAATGCGAAGGTACCTATGAGGCAAAGTGCTAGCGAAAAAATAATAGCGATGTGTTTCACGTATACGGTATGTATGAAGGCAATGCAGTGGGGCATTCCAGCACCGAGCACGGTCAGCAGAGAGCGTTCTTCTGAGCTATCTAACGTTGCACTGCTGCAGCACTGGAAGGGTGCACTGCATTGACCTGCAAGCAAGGCACACATGCTTGCTTTCCTCTTTCTTCCACTCTTCAAGCTCTGCATCACCCTCCCCTCGCCCCCCACATTCCCATTCGTCTGCCCCCTCCCCCCCCTCCCTCGTCTCTCCTCCCCCCCCCCCCAACTGTACAGTATCATCAAATCTTGGTGTGAGTGGGGATGAGCACGCGGTCGACCCCATGGGCAATGAACCAGTGGCCCACATACAGCCCGGGGATGCGGATCGTGGTCCACTGTGCCTGCTTCAAATACGGCCCTTTGGCAAACGCCACCGCGCTGCTATTCGCCGCCGTCATCTTGAACACCGGCTGCCGGAGCTGCGTGCCCACCGCCACCCGCTGCTTCACCTGGCGCAGCTGCGGGACGGTCATGCGCTTGCGCAGGATGTGGAACGCTGTGATGTTGTACACCGTGGGGATGCTGCTGCTCTTAGCGGGGATCCTCTTCGCGAGCGCCTCTGCCTGCGCGTTGTTGGGGATCAGGATGGACGCGTCTCGCAGTGCTGATAGGTCGTACCTCGAGTTCACTGGGAAAGAGGGGGGGGGGGGAGACAGGAGGAGTGAGAGTGAGTGACTTTGAGAAATGAGAAGGATTTTGGGAAGGAGGGGGGGGGGGGGGAGGGTATGCATGACAGAGGGAGAGAGGAGGACAGCAGAATTTGGTGAGTGGTTTCTAAAAAGAGTGGGGAGGGGAGCGGAAGGGGGGAAGGGGAGGGGAGGGGCGGGGCAGGGAGGAAGATATGACTTGGCTTCGACGAGTTGAGGGACAGACAAGCTGCGGTCCAAGGTCTTACAGGCGAGGTTGATGCATTTGGAGGCATCCTACGCGTATCTGGAACCACGGTGCGTATCCAAAATCAGGTTGCTGGGATGAGAATGGGATGAGGACCACCCGTAGACGAGGAGGGATGAGAATGGGATGAGATCAGGGTTCTTACGGGCGAGGTTGATGTATTTGGAGGCGACCTGCGCGTATCTGGAGTGCTGCGGGTACCGCTTCACGATGCTCTTCGTCATCGCCTGCAGCTCCGCGCGCAGCTGCGCCTTCGTCGGCGGAGCAGGCGCATTCTGCGCGCTGCCGCCTGGCACGCACGCTGCCACTATGCATGTGGCTACTAAAGAGAGTTTAGTAACGACAAAAGAGTATAATTGCACGGTTGAGTAGGACAAGAGTGCAATAGTAGAACTGTAGCACATATAAATTGGATTATAATGTGCTTGTAAGAAATAAGGAAAATGTACTCAAGCGAGTAAAAATAGTCTTGTCCTGGGAGAGATGCTTGTGAAGAGGGTTGAAAGACTTACACTTGTGTGTCTTATAGAAGAGTTGTAGGATCTTGGGAGTGGTTCTTGATAGAGGAGGACTTGTGCTTGGAAAGGATCTTGAGCTTGGGAGAAGACCACAAGCTTGGGAGGAGACCACAAGCTCGATGAGAGACCACAATCTTGGATGTGGTTGAAGGAGAGGGCCTTGTACTTGAAGAGTGAAGGTGCCACAAGGTTGAGTGTTGAGGAAGAGAATCTTCCTACAAGCCTGTGGCTTGGTGATGCATCTTATACTCGCGTTGTGTATACGATAGACTATTGCTTGATTACTTTGCTAATCTAGGATCTTTGTGGGAGAAATCTGAGAGCATAAACTTATATGAAATAAGGTATAGTACAAGCCTTATAATCCATAGTGGATACAAGGACATGCATGAGAGAGAGACCACTCATAGTAGTCTAGGAAGAAAGTTAGCATGGTAATACCATCTCTAGAGGGCATAGAACATGAATGCTAACAAGGAGCCTTTGTAGTGGTGTGAACTTGAGGGGCTTGAAGAAGACTTGAAGGGGAGCTTGAAGGAGAGGAGCTTGGAGATGCCTTGTTGTACTTTGAGAAACTTCTTCACAGCAACTTGAACTTGGGAGCATTGCAATAGAAAATGGCTACTTCTCAGCAATCCCATAGGTTGTCGATCCAATTTATGAGATGACGTGTCTCATGGATGGAGAACATGTCGTCACGCAGCTTAATTGATACTCCGGGGTGTAGATTCGTTGTGTTGATGTCGATCCATTTTTAACGAAGATGACATCGTCAAAATAAATTGATCGTTATCGACACTAGTCAGAAGATGCGTCGATTGTGCAGTTGCTGGTCACGAATGTTGTCTCCATGATTATGCTTTCCCATAGTGTTGTTTTCGCTGCATTCGTGCCGTTGATTCCGCACCGATCCGACGATCCACGTTCTCTAATCAGTTTTCTGCTTGCAGGTATTACCAAGAAGGTGATTCCTTGGCATATTTCTGACTCGGAATATGATTTGTGCGCCACATTCCTGCTTAATTGGAAGAATCCAAAACTGGTTGTCAAGCTGAAGTGAACGGTGTCGAAGATGGCTGATTTTTGGTTCTATGCGTCATTCTCCCTTTGTGCAGACGCCGCGCTCCATCTTGTCCGTTGAAGCAGAAGTCAATACGACGGTCCAAACTCCAAGCGATCTGAAGATATTTCTGAGTCACGTTCAGCAGCTTTCAGTACCCGGGTTGACTCGTTTCCTACAGCAATTCTCGGTCGTCGATGTCGGTTGTCGAATGATCAGACGCTTTGAAGAATTCCGCGGCTTGCGATGTCCCGTTCCCATTCGCGCTATAACTCGAACTCGCACATTATGATTTCGTTTCGCCTCGGTCAATCTGAAGCGTCGGACCTCCATCGGATGGATGTCATCGGTCACAGCTGCGCACATTTTGGCGCAACTCCAAGAGTCGTGGCGAACTTCGAACTTCTCGGAATGTCGTAGGACGTGTTCGCGAGGTCGAGGCCCTTTGCCCCCACGAAAAAATTGGCTCTGTCGATGCAGTCCATCGAACGGTTGGCGAGGCATCTCGCCTTTGAAGGGGACCCCACGTGCAACTGCGCGAGGTTAGTTGAAACTTAATTGAAAGTGCATTGTACTCACAAGAATTGAAGTTTCGACTCCATCCTTGGCGTGCTCCCGCGGGCCCAGCGGTTAAGCATTGAGCTGAAACCTTGGCTCTGATTACCAAGTGTCACAGGATCGAATGAGGTTTGCTCAATGTTGCACTATCAATCAGTATAAGGTGCTTTAATACTTCCATAGTACATCAAATAACGAGTGGACCGCCACGAGACAGACTGAGAAACAGATGACGAACGAGTGGACTGCCACGAGACAGCTCCTGCACCAAAACTAAAGCAGTAGCCCTGGAAGGACCTGAGCATCGCAGCATTGTCTTCCCACAAAGCGTCATTGTGCCCAGTAAGGGCCACTGGACTGCGTCCTCCTAGCACTAGCCTTAGGCCCAATGTACTTGCTAGATAACGCAAAACCCTCTGAAAGAGCGCGAAAGCTATGAAGATTAAAAGTTCATGAGCTTGCGTTACAATTGCGGCGGTTACAAAGTGAAGTTGTGGGGTGACTCTATATGGAGTTGGGACCTTTGGGGTTGAAGAAATTTGTCACTCTACTGTAACAGCTGCAAATTGGTTGGGAACAACCAAGCTAGGTTGGCAAGGGTGGCCAACTTGGATGGTTTGGTTGGGGTGGGACAAATGTCAAAGTTGGGGTTCCTATAGGGAGGGAATCTTTGTGCTTATGGGGTTTCCTTGGTTGGGGACTCTCCTGGGACTTTCCCTCTCATCTCTCTCTTTCTATCCCAACCTTTCTCTTGCTCCTCTAATTCCTTGTGAGATTCTTGAACTTCAATTGAACTTTTGAGATTGAGTTAAGTTCTCCTCCTACAGCTTACCCCCTAATGCGTCGAAAGCCATAGCGTCGCGAATACTTCATCAATCAACGTGATTCAAATTGGGAACGGTAGCGGAGATTAAGAGCTACAGCATATCCAAGTTTCGCGACATTCCAACAGCTAGTTTTTTGTCCACGTCGTTTCTTGTGAAGACGACTTTTCTGTCCATAATTTCGGATTTATATTTTTGAGTAATTCTAGCTCCTAGACTTCAACTAGACTCCGTCCTTAATCCTTACAGAGTGAAGGGTCAGCAACAACGGGAAGAACTGCAGGTCCACTAATGTAGCACGCAGCATGTCGCGCCACTCGCGCAGCGCCTGCCGCAGGCCGTAAACCGGGCGCCGGAGGAGCCACTGGGTCCTCGGGGCGAAGGTGCCAATGAAGCCTGGTGGGCGACGCAGGTAGACCTACTCGTGCAGACTGCCCTGAAGAAACGCTGTCGAGAAGTCGAGAGAGTGCAGCTTGTAGTCATTATGTGCTGTTACGTATAGCAGCGCCCGAAGAGTAGGCATCTTCGGGGTCGGGGCGAAGGTATGGAAGAAGTCCACACCCTTTAGCTACGTAGCACTCCTTGAACATCGACGACTTTCTTGGAGGGCGCTTCACCTTGAAGAGTCACTAGCGATCGACTACGTTCACCCGAGGCGGGGGAATCTGCGTTGACGTAGGTGCAGATGGATCTCCAAAGTGCCATTTCCTGCTCCATGGCAGCTATCCACATAGAGGCCCAGTGTCCCGAGGTAGCCTCAGCGTAAGTGCGAGGGTTCGGGATGTCAAAGGCGTCTAGGTCCCCCTCAGGGACCAGCGGCATGGAGCAGAGATGAGGCGTGGCCTCGGACAAGAAAGTAAGCTCGTACTGCCGGTCCTCTAGGACGTCACTACCAAGGGCAAGAGAGAATCGAATACCATGTTAACGTGAGAATCGAATGATTAGAATGAGAGATACAATGTGCTGTTGTGCTAATGGGTTGTACTCTCTAAGAGTACGCACCTATCTAGCCTATAAGACATATATATGTTTTGACACGATATCCTTAGGAGAGTTAGGCTCCATGTATCCACTTTCCCCAATGAAAGCCTCCCTACCCTAGTATTCTCCCTAAAGAGAGAGGAGGTTCGACACGGCTAGCCAAGTGCCTCGATGCCATCTACATGACCAGCTATAGTGCTTTGAGACACGTCAGTCCGACACAATCTCATCTCATCCCCATTACCAGGTCACTACAATGGATTTTTTGTCTGATAAATTACAGTCACATTTTTTTCAACGATGAATTTAAAGTCGTTGTCATGTCTATGACAATGAACATCCTGCGCTCATACTTCTTGGGCATCGCATGCTAGGGGCGTTCTTCATGCACTAGGAATCTGTCGCACGAACTGTGGCGAAGGCACACAGTCGCGCCACCCAAGACACAGTTGCACGTGCCATCTGGCGACGTAACGGGGTGGAGTGGCTCGTAACGAATTGCATGTGCGGGACGAATTTCGGGGAGGAAAGGATTTGGTGGTGGGCGAATAAAAGAGGTTGAGAATCTCGCGAAGGGCCAATGGGCGCCCTCACACATACATGCCATGGCACACATCGGCAAATGTTTTTTGGTGAAGGACCAATCGGCCCCTCACACCTGTCAAAACATATATGTACCATATTCCCTCGGGTATACACATCGGCGGCTAAAACGCACCATGGTGCATATATCCAGAGGGGTGCCATATCGGATGTG